GGATGCTCGAGCCCCATGGGCAGTCGAATCAATCACACTTCAGTCGCTTCCTGATTTCTTCGCACGCGACTGTCTCCCTGATGAATTTAGCCTGGAGCAGATAGAATGTAGCAGAGACCCTATGCTGACAGAGATATACGAGTGGGTCTTCGCGAACTTCGACCGAGAAAAGCCGGTCCACAAGATCGCCTTGCTCGCAGGGATCTATTTCAGTCATGTGCTTCCCGATATGTTCTGGGACGTCAAAGACAGGCCCTCCAACGACAAGATGCAGGGGGAACGGTCTGCCACAAATGCCATCAGAAGCATTCCTTGGAAGGCCAACAAAGGGACGCGAAAGGGAAGCACATGGAGGCCCCAGTTCATCGCGATGGTGCCAGCATATATCATCTCGGTATATGAGAGAGAGAGCCCATTGCGAGACTACTTTGCGAGGAAGAAAGCATTCCCCAATCAATGGAACGCTAAGAACAGCGCCAAAGGCATCGGGTCCTTCAATTTAGTTCGGATGGGCCTCGCAAAGGCACGCTCCACTCGCATCTTCAAAGGTGGCGTCCCATTGACGGATTGGATCTTGCTCACACATGAGGAGTTGGCTGCAAAGCACAGGGAGCTGATGGGTTTGCTGCAAGATCGTCAGTATGGGCCTTTCAAGATCGCAGTCTCCTTCTTTGGGCTAGACAAAGCAGTGGAAATTGGAGCCACGACCGGCACATACACCAATCATCCAGCCATGTCTTCAATTGCCATCAAGAAGCGTCCTGCGCCTGCGCCTGACTCTGACTCTGAAGTCGAGATCATAGAACATGAACAGCACAAACGACAGCGTAACTCAACGACTTAGACCTGCCATGGCCACCGGTGCAACTGCGGGTTATACCCCTGTGCCCACCTCATATCATATCATATATCCTAGTCCCAATTGATGCTGGTAGTAATGGGATCCTGGAATCTCTTGAGTGCCTGAATGGGTCTCCAACTCTGTATATATAGTCTCATAATCATTTGATGTGCCATGTACTACAGCCGCCATTGCCACAGTTCCATCGGCATATAGATAGTATGTGACCTGTTAATTATCTGTGATTTGATATCAGAAATACAGATCACAAGATTCTTCACAAACCCGTGATAAGGTGTATCACAAGAATGATGCTTCATGACTGGCCTCTTTACCATTATGTCTTTGAGTTACGTAGTCCACATCGCAAAGAAGAGTATCCTCGCATCACACTCAATATTGCTATGATGCTCATGATTTACACCGTGGCATAACAGAGAATCGCCCACCTCGACACAACAATGTCTGTAATGGTCCTGAAGTTCACCCCTATTTCACGGTGCATCATGTGACGGATTCAAATGGGCATATGCAACATACATCATATGATCCTAAGGAGAGAGGAAGTGAAGAACGATCAGATACCTACCATTTGTTGCATCGCACAGCTTAGATAGACACACACTGGGTCAAATGTTACGAACATAAATATCCAATTTAAATAAATATTAAGTTTATTGATCGACATACATTTGTGGTGTCCTAGTAGTAATGGCTTTGTAGCCAAATGGTTAAACTCTGCGTTCTGTAGCACTGGATTAACTGTGGTTCAATCCTTGCAGACTGACAATTATTTTATAGAATAATTGAAGATGTGACGAACAATGGGCACCACCAAATGGCATGCTGTGACACTCCATGTACATGCAAGCGGTCCCCATTGTGCGTCATAACTTCATCTCATTTTGCGCACATGCCACAACAGAATCTTGGTGTGAGGGACGGCATGACATCATCGCCGCCGACGCAACTGTTTTATCGGCGGCGACATAATGTCTTCGAGTATGTATGCACATGTGTGACAATTACGCCAACAATCTTCGTCGCTGTGACTGTTCCGTCGACCACCTAGTGCCAGGAATGTTAGTGAATATGCGCGGTGTTACCATGCTATCTGATATGTACATATAGCTCAAGCGGCCAACTCTATATTAGTGCATTCCGCATAACGTTCGATTTATTGTATTACACCTCCACCAAATACGCATACTGGCCTTTCACCGTTCTTCCTGTCTGTCCGCCGATGCAACGGTAGCCATGGCGGAAATTACCATATTACCATGCCGCGTCTGTCTGCGGCGTAGAATTTATGGCGCACAATGGAAGACCGCTGGGATCACATAGTGTCTCACAATGTTCGCCAAACGTCAGGCTCAGGGGGTGTACCATCTTTGTCCACCTGCGGCGACAATTGAACCATAAAGTTCAACAGATTCAGTGGTGGTCCGCCGTCGACACCGTTGCGACGGCGGCGGTACTGAATTGAGCACCCTCCTTTGTTGTCTCTTTACATCAACCATCGAAGATATGGCGCGCAATGGGTGTAACAGAGTGGCGCCATAGTACTGGATGGCGGCCATAATCAAACATGAGGCCCAATGATGGTCCGCAGTCGCTACTGTTGCGACGGCGGAAATTGGAAGAGCTGACCCCTCTCCTTATGCCATTGCGTCCATCACAGAAGATATGGCGCACAATGGGTAGAGCAGCATGATACACCTGTGATGAATGGCGCCCATCGCCAAACATCAGGCTCAGGGGGTGGTCCGCCCACACGATGTAAAGCTCGACGGGCCATTGTGCATCGGTGTGCTGTCCGCCCATATAATATATGGCTGGTGGACGCTGCAATTGCCATTCGATATAAAGCTCGACTGGCCACGCAGCGAATGACGACAATGTTACTCCCCACCTCATCATAGGGGTGGCGCCCCCTGATGCATACCAGGCTTGCCTTGGCGGTGAGCCCCTGAGCCATGCATTTGGCGATGATGGCCAGTCAGATATATGGCGCCACCCTGCTACACCCATTGTGCGCCATACCTTCGATGGTGGATGTACAGAGACAACAGAGGAGGTGCACAATTCAGTGCCGCCTGAGCCTTTGTGGCGGTGGCGGTCCACCCCTAACCAAGATGCATCCGCCAATGAAATTGAGATTTCATTGTGGCGCTACATGCTTGACCGGTGGAGCGGCATGTAAACATACAGTCTGCCGCCAGACGCTTGGCCGGTGGAGCTATATGTAAAAAAATACAGTCTGCTGCCAGACGCTTGGCCGGTTGAGCTATATGTAAAACTACAGTATGCCGCCAGACGCTTGGCCGGTAGAGTTATATGTAGAAATGGGATCCCATCATTGGGTCTGATATTTCTGCCATTGTGCGCCATAACTTCAGTTATGAGAGGTAGTTCGAATACTTGTTTCTCATCTTCTGAAAGTTAGTTGAAAGGGGTGGTGATCCGCACCATGTATCAGGGGCGGTCCTCTATACATCATTGTGCAGTTCGCCCTTACCCATATATGTGGGGTGGATCATACTCATACCATTCGATGTAAAGCTCGACTGGCCATGCAGCGAATGACGATAATGTCACTACCGCATAAGAGGGTATATCCACATCGGTACATCCATATGGGAGGACTGTTCTTCCAAATTCCGCCGTGGCAACGGTGGCATGGGCGGACCACCCCTGAGCCTGACATGTGACGATGACCGCCATTCATCACAGGGGTACCCCTCTGCTATACCCATTGTGCGTCATATCTTCTGTGACGGACGCAATGAAACAAGACGAGAGGAAGATCACTCTTTCAAATTCCGCCCTGGCAACGGCGTCGACGGCGGACCACCCCTGAACTTGTTGAACTTTACGGTTCAATTATCGCCGCAGGTGGACAGGGATGGTACGCCCCCTGAGCCTGACGTTTGGCGAACATTGAGACATACAATGTGATTCCAGCGTGCCTCCATTGTGCGCCATAACATCTACACGGCAGACACCGCAGACTTACGCGGTACGGTACCGTGGTAATTTCCGCCATGGCTACCGTGGCATCGGCGGACCTTCCGGTGCCAGTAGGTGCAGTTGTTCGTCGCTCCGTGAGTTTGGCATTTGTCCATGTTTGTCCTTCTGATAGGGGTATTTACTCTCGTCCACCCATTGTGCGCCACACCTTCTGTGCGGACCATATTGGAGGACATAAATGGGGAGGCGGTGTCTTTATTGCCCCCGTGGACACGGTGGCGAGGGCGGACCTTTTCAGTCGACACACATCGCTAGATTGAATTTATGATGCACAATGGGTTGGCTTTACTGATATGTCCATGGGCCTTAATATTTCACCTTCTCCTCTCAGAAACGTAGGTGAAGGTCGCCACAAGCTATACTTCATATAGTATGCACTCCACATTCTCCTGCTCCTGTCTTGCCCGCCTTTGACACCTTCTCCGCTACGCCCAAATATCAAACACGCCATCATGGAGAGTTCTTACCATTTACATTGTTGCCTTCGGCCTTGATGTCATTAAGTAGCATGGTGAGTTCCTCTCGATTGTTACCATTGTGCGTCATATCTTCCTTGTAATGGTCAGAGATGACATCTTTGAAGCAGAACAAGGGGTTTTCCCCCTCAGTCTGCCGTTGATGTAACCTGCCTCTTGAATGCTCATTTGTCATCTCCTGGAGGTTTGTCGAAAGCGATATTGACCTGCACCATGTCTTTTGGACGGTCCTGTTGAATCTTCTTCTGGCTGATTGTTGACACCGTGTTGTGAAGGTGGAGTATTTGACTGTGTCGACGCTCCTAAGCATTCTTGCTGTTGCTTTTCTCCATGTCTCTGGTCGACACCCTGTGTTCCCATTCTTGGCCCATTCAAGTCCACACAGATCACCAGATTGAATTTATGACGGACAATGGGTTTGATTTTTCTGTTGTGTCCATGGGCCTGATTATTCACCTGGTGTTTAAAACGCCTGGCAGGAAGTCGCTACCGCCTATACTTCATATAGCGGGCACTCTCAAATTTCACCTTCCCCTCTCTTTCCGCCTTCGACACCTTCTCCGCTGCGCACACATATCCAATACGCCACGATGGGTTAGGGAATAAAAACGCTGGTGGGCGCACAAGTAACTGAAGAGGTAAACTAGAAAAAATACCCCCGGCTACTAGGTAGTCTGAGGTGGTATTTCGAGTATGGTACTCTCATCAGTTTTCTAGCTGGTTTAAATAGGGGGGGACACACATATTCGAGAGGAGTATGTGTCTGAGTACGAAGGTTTATCGAAGATAAGAAGTATCGTATCATGTCTAATAATGTTATCAACGTTAAGAAGCCTAAAAGTATTTTTAGTGCCGCAGCAGGTGGCCGAAGGCCGCCATTAAAAATCTCTCACAGATGTCAAACTCTATAAAAAGGTAAACAGGCGTACACAATCTATATTGAGTAAGAGGCAATAATAGTTTGATCCGAGTCCGGACCGAAGGTCTAGACCTATTACGTAATAGAAGTTCCATAAACAAATATCGGAACGACAACCGGTCACGTGACATCTGTCACCTGGGACCTGATTATAAAGGATATTTGTAAATAGGTTCGGTTAAATGTATGGTTTTGTTGACCCTAAGGCCTCTGAAACTAAAGTTGAGGGTGATTGTACAAATAATGTATTAAAAATGATGATTATACAATGCACAAAAATGCACTCAAGATATGGTATTGTAACCCTTTATTCACGATAGACTCAGTAAATATATAAAAATCTTAATATATATGTTATGTCTTATATGATGTCCGCCCATGCCACCGTGGCATATGCGGATGTGGGTATATAACAAGGTGTAAAGTGTATAGTAAGTACATACTGATATATGTCGCTATACATCTATTCATACCCACATATGTAACATTTGTATATGTGGGTATGAATAGATGTATAGCGACATATATCAGTATGTACTTACTATACACTTTACACCTTGTTATATACCCACATCCGCATATGCCACGGTGGCATGGGCGGACATCATATAAGACACAACATATATATTAAGATTTTTATATATTCAATATGACAATCACATATGTCCGCCCCCACAACCGTGGCGAGGGCGGAAATATCAAAGAATAGATTAGAATATGTATATATTACATGATAAAATGAATAAAAAACAATATCACGTGACATCGGAATCTGATCATCGCGGACATGAACAATTGTGACACGAGGCGAAGGCGAAGGTCGGAGGGAGTAGGAATATAAGGGCGTAGGGCGAAGGGAGCCGGATAACGATTGGAATCCATCTCAGAGACCTACCACCACCTACGATACGCACATTCAAGAATTTTATCTGTACAAATGCCCAAAAAAACGAAAGGAGGAGGCAGCAAGACTGCCAATGCAGAGGTAAGTCAAAAATGCGCAAGAAGAGAAGCAGAACTCACCTAAATTTAACACAAACGTCTATCAGGACGGAGAAATGACGAATCTCCACCTCGACACCAGACCCTTAGAACCGCTGGTACTTGACAATGATGTTGCCAAGATGATGCAGAAGTTGGATACCCAGGTCGGCAAATGCAAAGCGGGAGTTGCATGGATCAATATACTCGCACTCAGCAAGAGATTGAAGTTTGGGACCTATAATGATAGGGCCGAGAACGAAACAGAAACTAACAAATTAGTGACGTCTTTTCGCGATGGGATCATGTCCATGAAGGACCAGACAGCGATTCCGATCATCATCGATATCGCACGCATCAAAAATGCAGACTCGTTGTCGAAGGATTTCCTTGATCCGGGGGATGTACCTGAACTCGAACTCGTCGACAAAGACCCTATCGTGGTCGCATCGGGACAGCACCGACTTGCTGCCTTAGTGAAATTCAAACAACAGCTAGACGATGAGTTCAACGTACTGGCGAAGAAACGGGATAAATTTAGGGCCATGGACAAAATAAGCGCGGACCAAATGGACACGTACAACAAGGTCCAGTTCGATATGCGCGTCATCATGGGGATCACGGAGAGTGTTGGAAAATGGGGGGTGGTCGTATATAATCAAAGTGAGTGGTGTGTTCCGCGCATGCCACAGTGGCCGGCGCGTGTATAAGCAGACGCGACATCACAGAATGTCCGCCCAGGCCACTGTTCCCAACGCGGACCTCTGACCTTGTTGATTCTGTAGGGAAACTGTTAGCGAAGGGTAACGATGACCTGGCTACTCATCTGAGTCGCAACAATGCGTTGCCCGAGTACGGGGAGACCGACGAAGAGGTCATAATAACTGCGTTCAAGAGGATGTTAGTAGCCTACGACGCGGCACCAGAAGAGTCGAAACGTGATGCAGCAACCATGGCCCTCGTCGAGGTACGGACCACCGGGAAGAAAAACGCACGTATTCAGAAGGTGTTGCACCACGAAATGTTATGCGTGGTGCTCGCAACCCAGCTGCTCAAGCTAGGCCCGCATTTTCGTCGAAGGCGAGAGTTCACGGTGACATGGCTGTTCACATCGATTGGGATCTGCATGGGAGTGAGTCATACAATACGAAATGCGAAGTCAATGCTCACCTTGACCAAGCTCTACATTACGTTAATCAAAATTCGATGCGGACTCCTGCAATTGCTCTCTTCTCGCAAAGAGTTCCCATCGTACAACATCATCATTCGGTTGCTGCGGGACTCCGAAAAGGTAACAAGGAAGCCACCAAACAACTCGCGATGTTGCGCGAATCGATGAGGACCTGCAAAGAGAACGAGAAGGGCGACCTGTCGACGTGGATGGAGGTTATCGGGAGTTTGAACGAACACGCGGAGGCAGTCTTTACGGGGTACGAAGACATCATTGAGGAAATGACGCCTGCATATGTGACCACGTTAAGTATATATCGAGGGAGCGTGATACGCACCTTGAGAGACATGTGGTCCTTGTCGAAGAAGAGCGAAGACGAGATAAAAAGTAACGACATCTTGAAAAGTCTTGATAGGATCGTCGCGCGTGTGACCCTGCACCTGACTCCGGAGCTGGGAGCTAAACATGCGCCAGAGCCGATCCTGGGAGCATGGATGATGAATTATATCTGGGAATATCTCATCAGGACACAGGTTGGCATTGTGGAGGTACAGAAAACGATTGAACATCGGAAGATTGGGAGACTTACAAATTCCCTACAATAGATATGTCATTGGTTCGAGCCTCTGCTCGATCATTTCCGTCGCATCGGTGGGAGACAGCACACGATGGACGACTGGTCTACGGTCATGATGTTGAACATTGTGAAGGACCAACGAATCGTAGAACCCGATGCAGATATGGCCGTGAGTCCCGATTCGCGAGCGTGACGTCGAAAAACGAAAGTCCTAACATTGTGTTCAATGGTAGGTCGCAGAAATCATATGGACTTACAGAAAATCGTTTGTCATGAGGCTGAACAATGTGATGCTCAACATCGCACCTCAGCTCCCACCACGACCAAAGGACAAAGGCACATTTGATGACGCCGTCGCGAAAATGGGAGAAAACGAGCAGGTCTTGTACCAAGCTTTGCATAACATAGTGATGAAGAGAAAGCAAAGGAACGTCATCAATCCGAAGAACATTGCAGGGGAGGCACGTACCATTGCCGGCATTATGGGCCTGCACGTCACAGCTTGGGACTGGGCATCTCCGTCCATCAAAAACAATACGCGAGACCTGCTTCCCACCCTGCAGGCCATCATTCTGGAGCGGACGCACATGCAGAGCTATCGTCCAAAGCTATTGTCGGAGCCGTGGGTCGGTGCGCTCCGAAGACTCATTGAGATGGCCCTCGCGCAGTATGTTCAACCCCTGCAGACAATTGGACGATCCGGGTTAGAGACGACTGCAGAATGGACTTGGTGGGACGAGCTCACCATCAGCGACAAGCAGGCAGATCCTCAAGCTATCATTGATACACTCGAAGATGAGTCTGTGCAAGAGCAACACAAACTTGAAGAACGACTCACGCTCAAACAAGCTCATACGGACGCGATCCAGAAACTTATCAACTATGTCGCAAATCTACCGTGTGCTAAGTCCTCGTCCTCTTCGGATGCTCTGATATCAGCAGATGTTTCGATAGGCCTGGAATATTTGCTCCGGGTAAGAACCAGTCGTTATTTGATATCATATACGTACCTTCGAGACCATTTTGGGCTAACATCAATCTTCCTTTTTGCAGGCGGTGTTCTTGAACACATCTAGAGCTCGAGTTCGAGAAATGTGGGACAATCCAAATAAGAAGTTCAATGTCAGCACTGATGTCGAAGCACTGGACATCATTTTCCCACAATGTGAAGCTGACAAATTCACAACGGTGAGCTCAAGACGTCTCTCATATCTCCCGTTAATGTCCTATACTCACATTCGTAATAGGGATACGACGATGATTACGAGGATCCAGAAGACCACGCGGAAATGGAATTCAAGAACCCACGGAACAAAGGGAAGGCAAAAGAGATCCAAGTCTCTGACGAAGCTGACGTCCCTCCTACCATTCGACAAACACCTGCTTCCGGTTCCAAGCCTCCTGTGTCTAACGTTCCCACTACTGTCGACGGTCAGCCGCGTCCTGTACCTAAACCTCGTCCTGTGCCTCGCAAAACGCACAATGCACCTTCCACGTCTGAGGTAACCGTACATCCATCCTCCGGTCAACACGACAAGGATCCCAACGTTGAGTCTGAGGCATCTGCCAATGACCAGACGCGTTCATCCACACCCGCCGTTGCCACGGTTGCCCACGCGGGTGATATGTCAGGTGAGTGTCTAGATATATGGATGCTCACAATGATGCCTTCTCAGTACAATCAGGGGTGTGATAACCATGCTCCTACTCGTTGCTAAGTGGCTGAACACGGTGAGCACATGCCTACCAGGCAGTGTCAAATGAACATCTTATAACCAACTCATTGGTGTTGCATTGCCGAAATACTTTGAGTGCACCAATGGCGGCATCGTCTGTATGTTACATGACCATGCTGTTGATCACACTGGTGATTTAAGTATAGCCCCACGAACATCGAACAGTTAGTCCACACAATTCAGCTTCCAGTGCATGCGCCTCGGTGGCTTTGACAGCTTGGTCCTGTGCACGTGTGAATGTGTGGAGAGGTGGAGAAGATGGAATACCGTATCCACGTATCTAGATGCACACAAAGAGAAGATTCCACCGATGCATAGTTGGCCAACCTAATTGCCGTGTTCCATCTTTCCATAGTTGGGTCGCCTGCCGGCTGTTTGCGTTTCTGCATGAATTCATATGCGTTTCTTGGCTCAGCGCCTGAACTGCTGTCGGATGACAATTGACCAGTATCTTCGGTTATCAACTCAGAGAGAAGAGGGAGCGACACCTCCAGAAGCCTCAGCTGAGTCATTGGGTTGAGTACCTGCGCATATATGCAGTGGCAATAGAGAGCATATCAAATTTCTGAAGGACCGATATAAACGGGTCGTCGGCTTTGGAGCTGGTCAACACTATGTCAGCATTGCATTGTTCTAGAACTGGTACAGGTTCAGATGGGCAAAATGATGAGAAGGATTCCACTCAACGCATGCTCGTAAGATCGAAGTAAACATCCTTTTGCGTATCTTCGAGCACATAGACTATACACCTGACAGAATCATAGTATGGGCCTGCAACGCGCCCTCTGGAGGAAACACGCTAATATGCATCGGAAACACGCACTCATTGAACGACTTACGATTGGCAAGACATCATCAAGCAGATCTGACTAGATGGTCAGATCCATGGGACACAACACTCTTTGAGAAACTTCACCTTTGATGTGTTTGCATCGTCCTCCGAAATACCGTTCTCCATATTTGCTACCGCTGCCACTGATTCGGAATTACCCTCCCATCTGACTTTCTTTCGTGGCAACTGAAAGCTCTCTTCAGTGTCAGACTCGGCTGTCTGATTTTGCTCGTGGTTTTGTGCGCTCTTAGCGACTTCATTTTTACGGTGATTAGAAGACCCATTTTGTTTTGTCCTCTTCATGTCGTTCTGATGCGTGTCTGTAGATGGTGAGCGGTAACTTGCAAGGCAACGACTTGCAGTTATACTGTTACCAGTCGACATGTGCATTTTCATCAGCAGTGACAGTACAATGATGACGAGATGCAGACAAGGTAATAGGATCACTTCTTTACTTTCAGTAACTCTTTTGTGTCCTCTCCTGTCACTGCGTAACAAAGAATCTGTTAGTAGCAATCGTTACAAAGTAGGAGACAACGCACCATTCAACAAGAGGCTCTGAGCATCTAACATCACTTTATTCCCTGAGGAGGCTAGCATGTTGGCGACATCCCTTGCGGCCTCAAGCCGACAAAGCTCCAGAAATCCTTTATTCGTGCGCATGGCTTCACCAATCAGCTCAGCACTCTTTGCCTCACCTTGAGCTTGCACTATAATAGACTGTAGAAGACACATCAGAACTAAGAAAAACCGATAATTACTACAAGGATATATTACCTGCTTTTCTTGGATGGCCTGATCAGCCAAGAAGGCAGCCCTCAAAGCTGTTTGTTGAGCGACCTGTAGGGCAAAATTACCTCGGTGAATGGGATATGTACCAGATTACTTGCCTGCTTGGCCTCGACAGCATGCGTAAACTCAGGTGAAAATGCCAAATGGGTGATAGACACATCGTCTAGCACTGCATTAAAGCGCAATGCACAATTCGTCAGGTTCTCGCGAATTAACCGGGACACCTGACACATAACCCATCGTCATTTTACAACAGGGTAGCAGGTGAAAATACTGCGCACCATCTCACATTGTGTAATAAGTCGACTCGCATTGAACTGTGCGACCACACTTGAGGACTTCGTTAACTATAGACGGTAGTACGCGCTCGTCATAGTCTTTTCCTAGTTCACAATATATTTGAGGCAGAGTAGATACAGCCGGCCGTGACAGAACTCTGCAAGTAATGTTGACCATTTGCAAATCTACAATTCCAAATTAAGCGGGTGCAGGTGTGCCGCAAGCTGCAGACGTCACCTTTCGTGCCAGTCAAACTTGCTACACTCCAAGGCTTTGCACGAATGTCAAAAACTATTGGAGTCTCGAACCAGGGAACCTGAGGAGCATAAGCAAACAAAATGCGTTCAAAAGTATGAACCATGAGATGTGTCCCTTCACTGTACACCTCATCCCTAACACCCTGGAGACTGAAGCCTATCCATATGATTGGGTGCGGATGCATCTTTCGTGCAAAGGCCCAATGCCCTAGGGAATTTATTAGTGACAGGTTGTACAACTCGGATGAACCCTCTGGCACGTCGGGCAGGCTCAAGGGATTTTAGAGTGTTGTGAGGAATGAAGGGGTTCCACAATTAAGGAGGTATTGATAGAGGTTGTTGCGGAGGTCAGCGCTTTTGAGACATGAAGCAAAGTCTGATAGAACGGGTGGTATCGGTCCCATTTCGGGAATCGAGTCAAATTTGTGTAGATGAGGGTCAGGAAGGATGATAGACATAGGGAACGCGCTGAGGATGATGTTGCGAAGCTGGATGCAACGCGGAGGAATGGCATCGCAGAGACTAAAGTAGTACTCGCTAAGGAACTCTGGGAACTCATGAAGAAGGACGGGGAGGAGTCAGAGGGAGCTGCAATAAAAATTACGAGATGCGAGTTGGAGATTAGCATCGAGCCAGAAACTTGAAGGAGAAAAGAAGGAGCTTGTGGAACGCAGACCAGCACTGACAGGAAAAAGTCAAAAGAAGTTCCTCCAAAATTGAAGGGCAAATCTCACCTCGCGGGTGTCGGATAGTAGCAATTTTGGCATGAAGAGTCGATGTGAAACAAGGCAGAGCCAAGAGAATGCGAACCCAGGGAAGTAAGTGGGTTGCAAGTGTCACTGCGCAATTGCGAGCTACAATAAAAATAAAAAAATGGAAAATGGTGGAGTTGAAGCAGTTAAGAAGCGTGCGGACTACACGGTAAACATTGAACATATATAACAGGTCGAGAACAGAGAGATACGTACTCAGCTTGACGATCTCTGCCTGGCGGTTGAAGATGTGAATGATCTCGAGTATGATGACTTGCGTTAAGCCGCTAGAATATCTGGAGGAAGTGCTCGAGTACAACAATAGACCTGGCAAGACTTACTTTTGAACTTGATACGTTCATTGAAAGATGTCCATTGCCACTGACACCATTGACGGGTGGCTGACTGCTGTTCCTGGAACCAGCAACAGTTTTGCGCTCTTCCTGCATTCGTGCCCTGGCACGTACATCCAGGCCGTTCTCATCTTCCATAATCTGATCACCGCCTCGTGCATGACAAATTCCGAATTCTAGATCCTTCACAAGATCCTCCGCTTCATTATCGAGCTCGTGTTCGAACTCAAGCCTACCAGGGAGGAAGGTGGCAATTTTGTGTACCCCAGGAGCAGAGGTTGGGGCTACCTTGGGTGGTGGAGGTAGGGAAGTGGTCATGGTTGACATTCGTCTGCGCTTGCGAGCCTGGAATTCATCTGGGTCGATGTTAAATTCGACATCCATCCGCTGTAATATGATTCACTCAGTGAAGGGGACGACTTGAATCATATAGACGTACAAGAAGCGGCCAATCACAGAAATCAACATATACGCTGTTGAGCCGTAACTAACGTACGAAGTATCCTGAACAGCAGCAGCAGGCGGGTCAGGTGTGATTTTGAGAAAACCAGCTTGCACCAAGAGTCCCAAACTCAACTCGCCTTGTTCACATCAATCTTGACAGGATCCCGTGCTTCCCTGCGGTGAAGCTTACCTCCACGACAAGCGTACTCCCGGACGAAGGTCTCCTTGATGACAAGATAAGGTTTGGGTAAGATTCAGAGCTGCGAGCAGAGGGTCTACTCGGCTGGAGTTAGCCAATGTAAAGACGGTCTATTGGCAAGATTGAGGTCGTTGACAAATGAATCGTGTGCAACGGCGCTAAGACCAGAAGCCAAGGGTGGCAAGTGGCGGGATCCAAAGACGAAAGGAGCAGCACAAGGATTAAGGCCGGCATCAGATGTTTTCGGTAGCATGGGAGACTGGGCATACGCGGCAGCAGTAGAATTAACCGGATAGATATTGTCTTGGATGAATTGGACTTCCAGGCGTGAGGTCCCAAAGAACTGTCGTTGAAGTGCCTCTTTGGCTTCCTGAGCATCGAAGACATTCACGTATTCGACTAGAGCGGTTGTGGTTCCATTGCCGAGCATAGCAGAATCCATGAGCTTCACCTCCTTGATGAGACCGAAAGTATAGAACAGACGATGCAAGTCACTGGCCTGAGCAAAGAGAAGAATCGGCAAGTTCGATACCAGCAACTTCGAGGAAGGCGCATTGGGGTGAACTGATGGTTGGAGGTGCGGGTTGGTGATCGAACTCCATTTCCGGAAGTGACGAAGGGTTTGAGGATGCCAGCATCATCGTCCTGTCTGCGTCATCTAGGAAGCCTGTGACAAGGGATAAATAAGGTAGAGTACTTGCAACTGGATTTAGCTCGCACCTTGAGAACGTTGTACGACGGCTCAAGATACATCAAGGGTGTGTCCTCTGTGACGTGTCAGTAAGTTGAGCCTTGAATCGCGAAGCAAATGCTCTAATACTTTATTTGCGTTCGCGAGAGCGCACTCATTGCACGTTTGGCTTCCTCATGAGATGACATTACCACGAACCCGCGACAGCGAGATGCGTTATCGACAGTGGCGAGAATCACAGCGTGCATGACAGTACTGAAACGCGAAAACAAGGCGGAAAATTCGGGCCTAGTGACTCGTGAGCATGAAAGGTGTGACGACTAAAAGTAGGCACACTTGGTGAGATCAAAGGGCAGACCGAGCACGTAGAGGTTTCGACGCGCATCTGAATTCTTGCCAGCGCTTGGAGACGATGTTTTGTTATTGGCGGTGCCATGGTGCTTTGAATGGTGCATATGTGCACTGTTCAGTTTCCACATATTGAAAAGCACTCACATAGAGGATCCACCGATGTTATAACCAGATATACATAGAGCTTTCCTGTTGTGTGGTCAGTCGGTACAGTCAGGTGAGAGCGTACAAGTCTTGCTTAAATGCATCGTGTGTGAGAAAACATAGCACGCAGTACGGCGTGTTATCATTATAGTATGATGCGTCTGCGCCCCTCAAGCCGGTTGCTAGTTGTCTGAAGAAGAATTGGAAGATGTCCCTCAGCTCGGTATGGATATAAGGCGCGTATAGCCTGAGTATGTCGGCAAGATAGCATGCTGCGTAGGTCTTGACGCCTCTGTCTTTGTGTAGTAGAATGGAGGTGTATACGAGCTGTGTGCGGA